ATGGTGCTTTCTTCAAGGGCCGTCGGGGCTTGATCTTGAAAGAGCGATGGACGAAGAACGAAGAACGAAGAGAGCTTTCTTGATTCTTCGGGAACCTGGATGCTTGAGAGCTTCGGAGCTTCAGAGCTTCAGAGCTTCAAGGTGTAATATGAATTGGTTCCCCAAATGAATGAAATTGGGCTTGTATTTATAGAATTTTCCAAGGCCTAATTTTGAATATAATATTCCAGATGAAATAAGTCGTTTCTGCCAGGCGTTGACACGTGTCCTATTTGATGACTTTTCCAACTCATTTCAATTTTCGTTGAGTCACACGCTACGTGTAAAATTTATGTAATACATGAGCGTTGACACTTTGATTTATCGGTCAACATTTATTTACGAAATTTCGATGTCTACAAGTTTATAATAGGAAACTTTATATATATAAAGACAAAAACTTTCATTATGTTTCAAAAAATTCCACTAGTTTTAAAACATGTTAAGGAAAGACAAAAACATAAAAACAACTAAAGTAGAGCCCAAAAACATGGAAACAATGTCTAAAATACCAGCTATACCCCTAAGACTTTAAAGTTGTTAATAGAACCCAGCCCTTACAACTCCAACAAAATTAATATATGTCATAAACTCAACTCATCATCGACTATTTTTGCAGAATCAATTCAACCCTTCTTCGACTATTTTTGCTAAATTAGTTCAATTAGTCCCCAACTATTTTTGCAGAATCAATTATCGACCATTTTTGCAGAATCAGTTGAATTGTCTTCGACCATTTTTGCAGAATTAGTTCAATCAGTTCTCGACCATTTTTGCAGAATTAGTTCAACTAGTTTTCAACTATTTTTGCAAAATCATTTCAACTCGTCATCAACCGTTTTTGCAGAATCAGTTTAACTTGTCCTCGACCATTTTTTTTTTAATCAATTCAATTAGTCATCGACTATTTTGTAGAATCAGTTCAATCCGTTCTCAATTATTTTTTTTTGCAAAATCAGTTCAACCTGTCATCGATCATTTTTGCAGAATTAGTTCAAATATATGCAGAAGCAATTTTGGTATGCTTTTTAGTACAACCAATTTGTAATTGTAGCTGATTACTTCAACTATCCTCACAAACTAAGGCCAGATGGCTCGTTTTAGCCATCTGGCCCTCCAAGATATTAATATTTTAATGAACAGTACATGGTCATATTTGCCTCTGTCTCCAACCAAAGGCTAAAGGGCCATAGGGCTTGTTTTAGCTCTGTCACAAAAAACTGTCTCCAATCGAAGGTCATAGGGCAAAACATAATTTATTATTTAAATTTAAAAACTACAACAACTTAAATTTAAAAACAACAACTTAAATTAAAAAACTACAACTTAAATTAAAAAACTACAACTTAAATTAAAAAACGACAAATTAAATTTAAAAACTACAAATTAATGGTGTAGGAATGGTGAATCAATAGTTTAGGTATTTATAGGAAAAAAAAATTAGAATTTTTAAGAATTTAGAACACAAAAAAGGGGCCCAAAAAAAAAGAAATTTTTTTGAATCCAACTGCTAGTTGACTAGCCGTTGGATTTAAATTTTAGTTTTAGCATTTCTGTCGGTTATAACCGACAGAATTGAGAGTTTTTCTGGCCAGCCCTCCATCCTTCCAACCCTTTCAGATTCCATGAGGTCCTCTCAGATTCCATGAGGTCCTCTCAGATTCCACGAGTCTTTTGGCTTAGCCCTCGGTTGGAGACGGTTTTCGGGCTATTTTCGACCTTCTGGATCCTTCGATTGGAGATGACCTAAGTGTGCAGTCATAGGCTGGATGATCAAAGACTGCACGATCATCTTATTCTAAGTAACTACATGTCTACTATGCCCAAGCATGAACCCATGATTCAACACTGGGGTGGGCTGAACTTTGAAGCCAAATTTCGATAGTGAAACTATTTTCTATAAAAAAAAAAAAATCACAATTAACAACCAACAACTAACAACTTTCAGAATTGCAACATGCCAATTAGCTACATAAGCTACATGGGCCAAGACAAGAGAAACAAGTGAGTAGAGGTGGTCAACAAGAATTGCCCAGATTGGCTCATTAAGCTATTTCACTAATTAATGATTAAACAAAGTTATTCATATTATCATACCTAGAATTGTCCAGATTGGCTCTTCAAGGCACAAATGATTAATGTTATATCAAGACAAAAAGCAAGAAAAACTCAGAAGGAAAATGGAGATGAAGAGGGTTAGAGAAGAGTTGCTGCAACAACAAGCCAAACAAAGGAAGACTCAAGCATGATCGACTCATATTTATCTTCTTGTACATTTGTATTCCATTATTTCATCTACTTCTACTTTTGTCTGAGCATTGCTCTCTTGAACATAATCACATCATGGAATAATTTAACATGACATTCACAGAATAGCTAAGTTCTGTTTTACTGATGACTGTATATAAGCTTTTGAAAATCACATCGTGTTTTTCAAGGATTAAAAAAAACAAAGCAACATTTTGAAATGTTGATTACTATATGCCGAGGCACAATCAGGAATGCATTATCTGAACATTGTTCATATAAAAAAATATAAAAATAATAATCAAAAGGATCCATCCTTTTTATATACCCATTATTAATAAAAAAATAAAAATCACCAAATCTCATTGACCCCAGTCGCCTATGATGAATGCTTATGTATAGATGGAAAGGAGTATGGCTGCGTGGGCATGATGTTTGATGAATGTTTATGTCATTTTGTGGGGTGTTGACTTTTAGGTTTAGGTAGAAAATGTAGGTTAAAGTTTGAATGATTGTAATGTTAAAATCTATGTTAATAAAAGGGTATTTTGTAACTTAAAAAATAGCCAATGATGTCATATTTCACATGTATTAATTTTTTTCTCTCCTCGAAATGTTTAAAAAATAGTCTCAATATATAATTAAGTATTAAAAGTGTATTGTATGTACATGTAACATCTCACATCGCCCAGGGGTGTGGATCTTGTAAGTCTTATATGTATATTCTCATCTGTACTTAGCACGAGGCCTTTTGGGAGCTCACTGGCTTCGAGTTCCATCGGAATTTCGAAGTTAAGCGAATTTGCGCGAGAGCAATCCCATGATGGGTGACCCATTGGGAAGTTCTCGTGTGAGTTCCTAGAAACAAAACCATGAGGGCGTGCTCGAGGCCCAAAGCGTACAATATCGTGCTACGGTGGAGTCAAGCTCGAGATGTGGTGGGGGCCCGAGCTGGGATGTGACCCGACGTGGACGTCGGGCCCCTAAAAAGGGTGGATTGTAACATCCCACATCGCCCAGGGATGTAGATCCTGTAAGCCTTATATGTATATTCCCATCTGTACCTAACACGAGGCTTTTTGGGAGCTCACTGGCTTCGAAGTTAAGCGAGTTCACGCGAGAGTAATTCCATGATGGGTGACCCACTGGGAAGTTCTAGTGTGAGTTCCCAGAAAAAAAACTGTGATGGCGTGGTCAGGTCCCAAAGTGTATAATATCATGCTACGACGGAGTCGAGTATAAGATGTGGTAGGAGCTCGGGCCAGGATGTGACAATTTGGTATCATAGCCAACCCCTGGTCGGAGGTGTGCCGACGTGGACGTCGGGCCTCTAAATGAGGTGGATTGTAACATATCCCACATCGTCCAGGGGTGTGGATCTTGTAAGCTTTATATGTATATTCTCATCTCTACCTAATACGAGGCCTTTTGGGAGCTCACTAGCTTTGGGGTTCCATCGAAACTCTGAAGTTAAGCGAGTTTGTGCAAGAACAATCACATGATGGGTGACCCATTTGGAAGTTCTCGTATGAATTCTCAAAAACAAAACCGTGAGTGCGTGGTCGAGGCTCAAAACGGACAATATCGTGTTACGGCGGAGTCGAGTTCGGGATGTGGTGGAGGCCCGGACGGGGATGCGACAATATAATTTTTCCTTTATATTAACCAAGTATATTATTTTTTTGTTTAATAAAATTTGACTTAGTACCGGAAAAGGAGGGAGCTTTAATAAAAATAACTTACACTTTAATGAAAAGATCTTAAATTTGAATGAAAATGAAAAAAAAAAATACTAAAAATACTAAAAATTGCGGCAGAACCCTATGTGTCCATCACATACACTCTCTCCTTTTATTCACTATTTTTAAAACTAAATATTGATTATTTCTCAAACTAACACATGTATTGTACTACATTATTTCTTAATGACTATTTCTTAAAATTAAACACGAGTACAATCACTATTTCTAAAATTGAACATTGGTACTATCATTATTTTTTAAATTGAATACTGACTATTTCTTAAAATGATTATTTTTGAAGTTAAACATAGGTAACACTATTTTTTAAAGAACTATTTGGTTGGTTTTTTTTCATTTTTTCTTTTATTCTTATCATTAAACAAATATTGTTTTTTTTATCCTTATCATTAAATAAATTTGTTAGATAACTTTTAATTAAAATTAAAAGTTTTAAAAGCCTTTTTATTAATTTTTCTAAAAATAATGGACAGAGAAAATTCAAAAATATCAGCACCTTCGTGATGCTCTGACTTGGAGACTTGGATCCCAAGTCTCTCTGACTTGGACTTTTTGGTAGACAAAGGCGCCAATTGGCAAACTAGCATTGGCCCACAAACTTCTGTTTTTTTTGTAGTGGCCACTTTTTTGCAGTAGTGGGGGGATTAAAGACGAGAAATTTTTAATTGTCACGGAAACACGGGTGGTCCACCACATGTTTTTATGTAAGTAATGAGAAATTTTATTTTTTAAATTATTAATTTTTTAACACACATATCCCACTATTTATATAACGACATGTAGTATATCATCCCGTATGACGGTCACATTGAAAAATCTCTCATCAAAGACAATCAGAAAAAGAAAAGCAAGAACAAAATGTTGGCACGCATTTCTCCTTTGATTTCTTCTGCTTCAAATGCAATCTCAAAACATGAGCTAGCAACCAAAGAAGAACAATTGCATAAAATAAATTAACTATCACGCGGTGCTCTTATCTTATAAAGCAACATTATGTGATATTGACCGGAAAGCTGCGACGACAAACGAAAAGACCTCAAAACACCAAAATAATTGGCTAGTAGTACCTCAAAGTGCAGTATCCAAAATTATCCCTTTCAACATTTTTTTGGGTTAGATAGATATTTTTTTGCAGTCTTTGGAGAGCCACTTGGACTGCATGTAGCTGGCTTGTCTCCAAGGAGGAATATGGAGGCCACTCTCCCTGAGAGATTGCTTTGCAGCTGAGCAAAGGAGAGATATGATCTTGTCAAGTTTCTCTTCAGTCCCAACAAAAATGGTGGGCAGAGTGTCTTTGAGCTGCTTGTAGTTCTGTGTAGGTCTTGCCACTTCGAATTGTGACCTGAAATCTATGTCTACTATGAGCCTTGTCACTTTTCCACCATCTTTAACATTGTTGTTCTTCTTCTCCCTCACCATTACATCAACATATTCATATCCACCTGTATATTCAACGGCTTAAAAACCAAAATTAACCAATCAAAATCACACGTGTACTCGAGAAAAAAAATGAAATTTATCCGATACAATGAGGGCGGAGGAAATGGATAGCATGATCTTTAAGTCCGTAATGAATACTCTTAAACAACTAAAATTCAAAATATCGCATAAAAAATGAAATTTGAGAGTGAGGGTTACCTTTAGAGAGCCTCAAAGATGAAACCCATGAAGTTTTGCAAAGGGAAGCTTCATAACCATCCTCATTTAGTTTCATCACAACGCATTTATTTTTCAGATTGTTGGGTTCCACCACAGCCCCCATGTCTCTCAAATACTTCAAGATTTTCTGAAGAATCTCAATCTCACAATCTGTTGCCTTCCATACCAAGTCCTAATTAAGAAAAAAAAAACCCAACATATATAAGATTAAATAAAGAAGAGGGTTTATATAATTTTAAACATATTTGAACATGAAAACATTCAAAATTCTAGTTCATTCGAGTGTGGGAGTTATATTAATTCCTTGTTTCAATTAGAGGTAAGCTCTTTGTATTCATTAACTTTCAGATAAATCTTTGTTTCTATTAATTTTCTTCGCTTAATTTCTCGTCTGAAAGTGTAACGATATCTTAAAAGCCGAATACTTGTATTTGGCGAGTATCCGATGAGGATCGGATACAGAATATGCAACCAAACTAAAGCATCCGTGATTCATTGCCGTTCCGCTACAAAAATTATAAAATTAGAAACACAAGGAAAACTAAAGGAGAAATGTACATACCGATATACACACACACACCCACCACACACATAGATAATATATATACATATACACACATATATAGGAGCAAGAGGAAGACTAAGAAAAGAGAAGAGACCTGTAAAGTGAGAAATTTGGGTTGACGAGTGGGGGAGAGAGGGTTTGAATTGGGAGCTGCTGAGGAGGAGTCTGATGAATAAGATTCATTGAAGTCTCTCACCATTTGCATCAGTTCTTCTTCTGTTAGGCTCTCCATTATTTTCTTTTCTCTTCTGCAATTCTTTAGTCAGTCTCCTTTCTTTCATCCGAGGTAAGGAGGAAGAAGATTTGTAAGTGTAAATAATTTCTGATGAGAAAGTTTCCTCCTTCAGTTTATTTTTCTTGACTTTTAGACATATAGAGTGATGTCATCAAGAAAAGACGGAAACAAATAAAAAGAAGTGAAAGTAGCAGTGCCATTGTAATCATTACTGCATATATTCATATCCCCGATTAATGATATGCAGGAATTAATCCATTAGTAGCATGGCATTGATAAAGCTATGAGCCTATGTATTTATTTAATTAATCCCCTCGAAAAATAGAAATCTGTTTATTGGAGATTAATTGGTTTTTTTAACTTTTTTATAATAAAGCTAAAACTACAAAATAAACCTCAGAAGCAACTGGATTCATCTAAAGTCAACTGAATCATGGATCAAGAATATGATTAGAGACTCGTTTGGAATTACTTTTAAAGTTTGAAAACGCTTTTTTTTTTAAATGTTCTTAGAATTAATCTTTAGTAAAAACGTAAGTAAATATTGAAAAAACACTTAAAGTGCTTAATGAAAGAAATACATAATTAGTGTTTCTTTCAAGAAGCATTTGTTCTGAAAAAACACTTGAAATGCTTTCTGGAAAAAGCATATACCTGGTGTTTCTTTTAGAAAACATTTCAAATGCTTTTGGAATCCAAAAACATTTTCTCTAAAAACGTTTTCAATCATTTTAAAAGCACTTCAAAATCAATCCCAAACTCCAAAAGTGGTAGTGAGGTGAACCCTATGCATTTGAATTTTTTTGTGTGCATGAAGTACGAATCTAACTAGCGGTTTTTAGACATAACTGCATCAATTATAAAATTAGTCTCTCTAAATATGTATTTCAAGGATAAGTGGTGGTTTGCTGTGATGATTAATTAGGACATTTCTCTTCAATCTATTGTATTCCACTTTCCAAATGTTCTCGCTTTCTTTGGTGTACAATGTTGTAAAATATCACATGTTATAGAAAAAAAAATGTACTTTTATTTTGTTGAATGAAAATAAAAATGTATTTAATAGGAATATTTTGAATTGGCTTTTCTGAGAATGTATTTGAGGGTAAAGTAATCAGTGTACACAATTGTATTCTGTTTATGACTTCAATATATATTTAATTACTACAATATTATCCGACAAATGCACTTTGACTTTGATTCGTTGCTGCAGTATAATTGGACTTTATATATAATCATCTAATTATGCATAATTAATCATGCAACTTAATTTATTAGAAAATGAAAACCATGTGAATTTACTTAGCTGCTAAAAGTCTTCAGGTTACATGGACATCTCATTTTGTCCTCGTTACAAAAAATATAAATAAAAATTGATCGGATTCATTTGGCATAGTGTTGACGCGTTTTAATGTACTTTTTTTTGCAGCAAAGTCAAGTTCAAGCTTTTAACTACTCTCCCTTAACCAACTTACTTAACTTACTTAAAACGTTGTTGTGCTCACTCGTCTGCATTCAAGTTTGATTTCTTCCTATAATTTATATGAAATTAGCCTAAAATATCACTTCTATAAGAAAAACAAGACGCGAGTGACTTTAACTGTGCCCATTATCTCTTCTTCTTCATTTTTTTTTTAATTATCAGGATATGCCTGTTAACTCTTCACTTTATCCCTTACTGTAAATATTATTAGAAAACTAACTTTTAGTCTAATGGTGCAAGCATTGAACATCCATCTTTAACCAATTGTGCTTTAGGTTCAAAGTCTCGTCCTCCCCTTTGTATAGCTTGGAACAATTACATCGCTTGTAATAAGAAACACATTTAATCTAATGGTACTATTTTCTTCTTGAGAAGCTAATTTATTTCCTGATTTAGCAAAAGATGTTTCTGTAGAAAAGATTAGCAAAAGATGATATAGAAGCATGAGTTACAGCAGAAAAGAATGAGTGGTAATGTATTCCTTTTGGTACAATACAACATATCCAGATGGCCTGATGAAGTCGAATGGAAGTTTTCCGACGGCAAAAATCTTCTTCACTCCTTTCTCCGTCACTTCACGAGACTCCATGAGAATCTACAAATGCTTTCCCACAATTGAAGGAGATATTAAAGCAGCCGGATGCAGCCTTCACCCAGTAAAAACTAGGCCGTCATTAGATAATCCAAACAAGTTACAATGTTCCGGGTTAAGCTCTCTCCCGCATTTTGGCTCTAGCGAAAAATACTCCAGCCACGAGACCTACAAATTGAAAGAAAAATTCATGGTGGGTGATGCTATAAAACTCAAGCTTGCATTTGCAAAGTTGTATTGTACATCATATTCTTCTTCCGGTTTAATGGAGAGAACTTACCAAAGAAAATGCTAGCAGAGTTCTCTAAACTGGTCGGCACCTTGAAGAGTAGAATACCGGCAACTGATAGAGGGATCTTATTCAACGACCCAACAAGGCTGCAGATATTGAGCAGTGATTAGAGCTGTCCAGTTAAACGGATCACAAACACCATATGATTCGAAATAAGCATAGCAATGTAATCATGCTAAACCAATTGGATAGTTTAACACAAACTAACAAGGTAATGTTTTCACATACAAAAACTGGGATCGTCTTAATTGACTTCCAAGTCTTGAGTTGTTTTCTTATTTCATTTTTAATTTTTAATTTTTTTGAAAGCCCAAGTTCCAAGTTCTTATTACATAACTGGAAAGTCTAGAAGCAAACGGAGAAACTGACAAAGTGAAACACAAGAATCCTATGACCATCTAAACTACATAAATCACAAATATAAGCTATCAGCTGGCCCGATTATGTTATGTAACAAAATTATTCAGCCTGGAAAAGGGGATATCAAATTTATTGCCCGGTCTTCTAAAGTTTATTTTAAGCGATAAATAGTCAATTTGAAAGTTCACTTAAACCAGGTAGCAACAACAGATATCATGTTATGCATCAGCTACATTCATCTTACCTGTATGTGGTGGCACCTGTTTGATGAAGAAACCACATAGATGTGAAGCTGATTGCAAGACCCAAAAATCCACTTAGCGTCATTACCATCCAGAAGGTTGGAGACCTCAAAAGTGGTCTGCATTTTGATTCAACCTTTCATTAGATTCCATAGGATAAAAGAAAAGGAAAATTTATAAGAAAAACAATGTGAAACGCAACCCTAACATTTCCTCCTTTCTGTTTTTCTTTTGACAAGTAAACAAGGTCCTAATTCCTAGGACATCCCACAATGTGATTCTAGACCTCACTCACAGCTAAAACAGTTTGCAACTTTGCATACACATTATTAGCTAGTAATTGCAGTTTCAGGCAGAAAACAAATAACATAGTAAACCAACAATGAAAAAACAAAACTTGGGAGATGTTGGAGTACTTCACGCATACTTTTCAATGATTATATCGTACGTTAGAGGAAGTGGTGTCAATCTGGAATGCTTCAAACTTTACAAATATTTCAGAAGGGAAAGAGGAAAAGGAACGGGCATTACTGTCAAACAACACCCATAAAATAGTAGTTGCAAGATTTCAGTCCATGCCTCTCATCTAGATTCTAATTTAATCATCAATATGACAACTTCTAAAGAGGATGTGAGTTTGTGTAAGTCATTCCTTTCCACTAGATGATTCACACTAGACTTTCTACTGTAGTTGTTTCCATAATTCTATATATCTCCAGAAACTTCCAATGTTAACCACGATGACCAAAATGACCTCGAATAAGAGAAAAAGTGCTTTGATAATCCTCCCCCACATTGATGCTCTGAAATATGCCTAAACTTATAACACGACACATATCATTTAGACTCCAAACATCCATCTTTATCGTCAAAACTTTCTTACATCAATATAGCACAGTAGAAACAGTGCGGTGGTATATGTGGGGAAACAGTACTAGAAACAGAATACTCACGTTGTAAAGAGATAATCAACCTCTTTGAAAACAAAAATAAGGAGAATCCCCAAAGGCAGAGAAAGCGTGTTATTTAGCAAGACCATTGAAAACTCATTCAGCTTTCCAGATTTTGTGACAAGCTTTGCTGTATCCATGACCCTACGTAGAGTCAGCTGTCAAAATAAAATAATAATTAGCTTTATTCAACAATTAAAACATAAACCAAGTTAATCAATAGCCAGTAGATGGAGTCACAGATCATGAAAATACAAGCAAGCACTTAAATTTCAGACCCAAGCAGAGGGCCCATTTCTGACATCTTGTTGATTTTTAACTATAAAGTAAAAATCTTATCAACTCAATAATAGAAGGGGTACAAAATCTCTGATATATAAGAAACTGAGTTGTATTAGACCTAACCAAAAAACCAGAAAAAAAGGATACTGTTTTGCCACCTGATAAGCATGATTTGTATTGTCTATAATTAGTTTTGGAAAAGTACTGCCTTTCTTTCACTAAGGAAGTGCATAACTAGTCAAGGCCACAATTAACAATTAAAGACTTGTTTTCATAGATTTGAAAAGAATCCTCATCAAGGAATATCTAAAACCAAATTATGATGTAGCTTCCTAATTCATATTTTCAAATAAAAGAAATTAGGTTAATCATTCTTATTGCTAAAAACTTCCTCACAAAGGAAGGGATCTAATTACATGAAGTTCTGATATAAAACAATTTAAAATTCTTATTTCAAAGTATACACAAGTAGGGGGGAGGGGAATGGATCATGGAAGGAGGTGGAATAAAGACTATACACAGAATGACATTCTAAAATGTACAGAACAGATAGAACTCACAGAATATGACGCAGTCAAGATACAATTCATAAATTGCCATGCATAGCCGATGGCATGGAAAGACAGATCAGTGGCCCCTCCAGAAATTGCTGAAATTATCTGCAAATGTTAGATTCAAAACCATATCATCAAATGAAAACTCACAAAATATGTTCTTTACGAAACCCAAGAATAGTATTAGGTTGGTGAAAATTGGTCTTGGAAATCAAGGACAATAAATCTATGAGCATGCAACCATGTATGCAAATGCACTTACACAACATCATCAGCTTACCCGACAGGACATCAAACCCCAAATTTGGAGAACTACTATAATGCATCAAAGATGTAAGTGTTGCCAGAAGACTCCTATAAGTTAATATTT